TTTGTTTGGGTTTGTGTTTGGACTTTGTTTTGGCCTTTTCCTTGTATGTTTGGGAAAAGGTGTTTGGTTTTCTGTTTGGGATTAGGAGAAGAGTTCTATAAATACTCTTCACCACCCTAATCTGTAGTAAGGTCAGTCATGTTAGTTTGCTTGGTTTGTCCGTTTGGAATTTGGTTTGTAACCTGTACTCTCCTCAAATCAGTGAAATTTGTCCCCCTGCCCCTAGATTAGCTAACACACATTGTGTTAGTGAACCACGTTAAATTTGTGTTCGTTCGTGTTGGTTTGGATTATCGATTGCACGCTTCTGTTCTGACAAGTGGTATCAGAGCCTGGTTCTCGATGTAATTCAAGGGAATTGGCATTGAAATCTTTGTCGGTTGATTTGAGTTTGAAGCCGCAAGTCACTGCTTACGTTGGTCATTGACACGCCAAAACACAACACCAATCTGCGACCAAGTGTAATCGCAGACCGGGAATGCAGTAACAGGCAAGTTATATTATCAACCCGGGGTCTAGATCTACTGCTTACTCAGTGATTATCTATTATCTAGCCAACTAAAGTAAGTGATTGTTGTTTAAAAGCAAAAGGAGAAAGAAAGCAGGAATTCATATGGTTTTCTCAAGCAGGTAAGATTCACTCGGGAATGAGTCCCCCTAGCTCCTTAGTTAGGTTTCAATTGTATTTCCCTGGGTTGATTTACTGTTGATTAGACTGCGGAAGATCCGACAGTAGCTTGGAATCTCTTAAGCTGACCAAGCCCTCTCAGTCTATCTACCCGGCAGACGACTAGTCTTCACCGGGATAGAAAGCTGAAGCAGTAAGAACAGAACTCCACTACTAGAATTGGATTCCAGTACAAAGCAGTAAACTGGCTAACTCTCGTATAGCCAATCTCCTACTATCGAATGATGAGACTCTAGCAACCTAATCAGATTCTATCTATCTCAGATTGCAGCAGGAATCAGGAAAAGTTGATCAGACTTCAATTGACTCAATAAACATGCATCATTCGATTAAAATCAAACAGTGATATCATCCCAAGTCATTACAATCAATCCCTAACACATAGAACTAGGATTCTTCATCCCCAAGTGAGAGAGGGGTTTTACTCCATAGAGAGAGAGAAGAAAACAGTAATCGGAGTAGTCATACTCATAAAGATGAGGAAAATCTGCTCCGGGATGATGATTTCCACTCCTAGGACGATCTCCAAGCTCGATTCGATGAAACCCAGCTCCAAGATAGCTTATAGGATGTGTTCTTCGTACTTTCTCTCTCTAGGGCTCTGTTTTTGCTCAAAAAGTCCGATCCTCCCCCTTGTGGCTCGAAATTGGCTGAAAAACCAAGATTTCCCGACTCGCACGGGCAGGCCACACGGCCGTGTCGCTCACCCAGTTGCCCGTGCGAGTCAAAACGCTGCGTTCCAATTAGTTCGATCTTAGACTTCCCACACGGCCAGGGTCGCACGGCCGTGCGGGATTTCCATCCTGCCCGTGCATGCTCTCGACAAAAACCACACGGCCACAATTGTGAGTTGCACGGCCGTGTGGTTTCCAGGAATGCCCGTGCAGCTTCCTTAGCACCTCGCCACGCGTCCGATTCTCGTACAATCGACCCCAAACTCGCTCCCAAGCCTCCATTCACGTACTAGGACCTGAAATATGACAAACAAGCACAACCTAGCGTGAAATCAGCCTAAAACACGAGAATCAACACCTCAAACGGTGTAAGAACATGGGTAAAAACATGTGTAATTAACGGTCTATCAGTCGTGTAGCATCGGAGCGCTCTATCACTATTCTGGTTCGTCTGGTTCGTGGTTCCTACTTCCTAGCTTCAATTTGGGTGGTTCGTAGTGGATTTAGATTGCTCACTGTTGAGATTGGGTTGATTGTGATAAAAATCACAGTTGGATGGAAAGGAAGTTTATTGGTGGTCGCACAATTATTTTGGATGTTTGGTGAATGATTATTAATTTAATCAATTCAAGAGGTGGGGTCCGTTGGTAATTCCTTGGTGATTTTGGAAATTGGACTGCGCCGTTTGGTTAGTTCGTTAGAATTGTTGTTTTGGGTGTTGCGAGTTCTTCTCAGGTTTGTGAGTTTGGCGTTTGGTTAGGATTTTTTATCATCAAGGATGTTTGTTCTGGATTTGAAGATCGAGAATTCAATTTGGAGTTGCAGGCTTGGAGTTAGCAGTAAATTTGATATTGTTTTTATGCACGTATATAACACCAAGTTGGTTCTGAATGGCAAGTCCCAACATGGGTTGGACTTGATATATGTTTTGATATGTTGACCGCCCTTAGGGGCATTTGGAGGCAAGGGAGATTCTGGTACAACTGATTTGGAGGAGATTGGTATGTCTGGCAATCTTGATTGCATTTGAGTTTGGCGATTTGCATCGCGTTTGAGTTTGGTGATTTCGATCACATCTGGATATTTGGAGATATGGTACCGCATCTGGTTACATCTGGCAACTTTGGTTGCGTCTGGTACATATGGTATTTGAGAGATAATTCAAGTCAAGGTGGAGATTGTTAGAATATAACTTGAATTTGAATTGGTTTTGTTTTGTGTTTTGGGCCTATTTTGTTTGGGTTTGTGTTTGGACTTTGTTTTGGCATTTTCCTAGTATGTTTGGGAAAAGGTGTTTGGTTTTCTGTTTGGGATTAGGAGAAGAGTTCTATAAATACTCTTCACCACCCTAGTCTGTAGTAAGGTCAGTCATGTTAGTTTGTTTGGTTTGTAACCTGTACTCTCCTCAAATCAGTGAAATTTGTCCCCCCTGCCCGTGGATTAGCTAACACACATTGTGTTAGTGAACCACGTTAAATTTGTGTTCGTTCGTGTTGGTTTTGATTATCGATTGCACGCTTCCGTTCTGACACAACCAATCAAGACGATCTGAACTAGATTCCCTCTATCGAATGAGTCTCTCAATCGATACAAAGCAGTGAACCAATCCTCGATTAAAGCAATCAATCCAATACTATCAATCTATGGTGCTCTATTGACATAATTGGGTATTTGCTCTCATACGATCAAAGCAGACTCAATAATCTCGACTAAAGCATAATTGAATCATGAAAACATGCATAGATTGAATATGAAATCAAGATTATCTAGTAAAAGCACTCATACTATCATCCAATCAAACAAACATGGCTAGGGTTCCTCAAAACCTAAGTGAAGGGAAGTTACTCCATAGAGAAGAGAGAGACTGTAGTAAGAATCTTCAGATGATCAGTCTTCAAGTGCGGGCTTGTTCCTCGAGCTTCCAAGGTGAAGAAATCCTCCAATTCCACTCCAAGATTTCCCTCAAATCTCCCTCTCTCTCTCTTTGTTTCGTCCCTTGGGTGTTTGGGATCCAAAACCTAGCTCTCCCCTCTCAAAAATCGCAGAAAATAGACTTATACCCGAGCAGGGGCGGAAACACGGTCGAGAACACGGCCATGTTTAGTCCTGCCCGTGTTTTGGTCCCGCCCGTGTTTTGAATCCCTTCAGCATTCTTCACAAGAGAGTCTCGGCATAAAAAACACTGGCAGGTGCCAGATGAAACACGTCCGTGTTTTTAGGGTAGTTTGCCCATGTTTCTTTCGCCGAACCTGTTCCCTATATTCAATGCTCCGTTTCTCCTTCGTCCGGACTCCGAATCAGTTGCCGTTGATCCTAGACGCTTGTAGTCTCGTCCTTTTTTCTTTTCATGACAAGATTGCATGATTCGCTTTCCATAAATTAGGTAGAAATCCATTCTTCTTCAGTTCATGCCCGAATATCTTCTCTCGAATCGCCAATAATCTCCGATTGACTTGAAACTTCCGCCTATGACTCCCTTTACTCACTAGGACCTGAAATATGACAAAATAACACAACCTAGCGTAAAATAGGCCAAGAAACCATAAATTGGAGCCAAAACGGTTAAGAAACAAGTGTGCAAACATGTGCAAATATGGTGCTATGAAATTCCCCCACACTTAACCGTTTGCTTGTCCCCAAGCAAACCTGACTCACAATAATGCAGATCTCCAGACCTTTATAGCAACATACAACCTCGATCGTCGGTAGAGAATTTCCTAGATCAATTAGCAACTTACGAGGTCAACTGGTCTTCTAAGACGTCCCCTATCTCTCTCAATGCGAGTACTAGACTCAAGCCAGGATCATGAGAAACAGTGGAACTAAGACAATCAATTCATGGAGAAGGAGACTCACACAATTTAATGACCAAAGACTCTTTGTATGGGGTGCTCTTTCATTACATATTACTTATTGGAACCCCCCCTTTTCCTTATTATTTGTTTGTTTTTCTTTTGTTTTACTTTGTTGGGGTTCCAACTGCAGTTTTTATGCGCGGTCGGCCCTTATTAGGTGAGCAAGAGCAATTTCTGTACATCTGCCGCTCGCCAGAGTACTTTTTTTAAGTCCTATTCCTCACTTCGTGTGGAGGGTTAATGAAATTAGGGGGGGGGGGGGGTCGGAAGCTCTATCCGTGCCCTTAAAACACATCCTCGAGTAGGCAAACAATTCAACGGGTGGAATTTTTACTTGTACTAGAGACGGTTTAGCTTCACCTTGTAGGATCACTAAAATATCTTCCATAACCCGATTTTGTGCAATAAACGGTGCCACACACGTTGGGCTTGCATTATCGCTTAAACATGTTTTTGGCGCCTATTCTTCCGACGAGTTCTCCGACGGTTTTGGAGTGCTTTTGCTCTTTTCTTCACCTTCCCTTTGGTATCTACTTGCGTCCCCAGGTTTGTTCTCGTTGTCTCTTAGTCAATTTTGGAGAATTGATACCTAGGGTTATAGGTGAAGAACTTGAGATTTTGGCATGAACTTAGATCGATTTGGTAGGCCGATGGAGATATATGCTTGAAATTATTGTTCCCCTGAATTAGTTTCGTCGGACTACAAATTGCATGTATAGAATTGTGCCCTTGTATGCTTGGTTGGAATTTGTTTGGTGAATGGCCGATTGGATGAATATTTGGGATTGGATTGTGTGTTTGTTCCACTGGGAGCCTAGTCCACTATCCAAATCTTAAGATTTGAGGGCTCCCGGTGTGGTTTGGCCTAACATTAACCCACCCCGCTATGTGGCATTTGTGCTTTCTGTTGCTTTGCAGGATCATGGAGGACTACCTGGACCTCTTTAAGCATTACTCAGTGCCACCACCTGCGGACCATCCGCACCCGCCATATCTTCGAGCACCTGCACTTGGACTTTGGGGTGTTCGTGGCGCTCCACGCTCGCCAGCAGATGGAGGCCGTTGTTTGCGCCTATGGTTGGCAGCGCCTCCTCAGCCTTGCTGAGCCGACCTACCAATAGCTCGTTTGGGAGTTCTACGGTTCCTTCTCCCATTCATAGAGGAAGTCGGCTGATCATGCTGATGTCGTCCTTTCACACTCGATGGTGCATTGGTCGTGGACGAGTCGGATCCCACTTCCTTTCCTTGCCAAGCTTACTTCGAGCGCATCTGCCGACCTGAGAACTTGGGTGAGGAGTACATACCCAGCTAGACGAGGGCCACCATACTCCATCCGGAGTGGCGGATCCTGAACCACCTGCTCACCCATTCCTACACTCCGAGTCGGGGCTCGGCCAACGGGGTCACCCTTCAGACGTTGTACTTCATGCATGCGATGGGTCTGGAGGAGAACATTATAGAGCTGGGCTCTATTGTCGCGCGTACAATCACCAAGGCCTGTCGGAGAACTCGCCATAGAATTCGCTGTCGGCGATCCAACCTCCGTCAAACAGGACCAAACTTATGGGGAATGTGCTCCCCGATGCCAAGAGCATATGGTGGTCTCGGTTTTTGATTTGGAGGTCGGGGGAGGGAGTTGTGGCCGAAAAACCACCAGAGAAGAGGAGGCCGATTTTCCGGCAAGGGGTGGGAGGATGATGTTTGAAAAAAATTGATTTGGGGGGAGAGGGGGCCAAAATTCGATTTTTATAGGGGGGAGTAAAACACGGGCGGGCCCAGAACACGACTGTGTTTCTGGTGCTCCGCGCAAGTGTTTTAACTGCCGAGGCGCGACTCCCCCTGTTATCAGAACACGGGGGGCAGGGGTTAAAAGACGGCCGTGTTTTCAACCCCTAGCGCCCGTGCTTTTACTGTCGACGCTGTGCAGGCTGAAACTCCAGAACACGGCGGGCAGGGGTCAAAACACGGCCGTGTTTTCAACCCCTGGCGCCCGTGTTTTTACTGCCGAGGCTTCCTCTACAAAGTTTCAAAATTCGTTTTTCAAACAACCAAACCTCATTCGTGCCCTGCTCAAAAATTGCATAGCCACAAGTGAAAACAGACTACCCTGGGCACGAAATACATTCCAGACAGACTCAATGCCTAAAAAAAACCCGACAAGAACGAAAAGGAAAAATGGAAAGAAATGCAAACCATGGTGGGGTTGCCTCCCCACAAGCTCTTATTTACCGTCTTTTAGTTGGATGCCCATGGCGGAACTAAGGGTCGGTGAGTTCAATTACAAACTCCGCACGTTCGACCTCGTCTCCCAGATAGAGCTTGAGACGATGGCCATTCACTTTAAACGGCTCAGTATGCAGGTTGGCAATCTCTATCGTGCCATACGGGAACACTTGGGTGACCATGAACGGTCCAGACCACCAGGAGCGGAGTTTTCCAGGAAAGAATTTCAGGCAAGAGTTATAAATAAGGACTCGATCGCCAACCTAAAACTCATTCGGACCCCTCAATCGAGTGTCGTGAAGACGCTTAGTTTGCTCCTTATACAACTTGGTGTTTTCGTAGGTGTGGTAACGCCATTCCTCCAGCTCCAGCATCTGCAATAGCGTTCAGCACCTGCAAGACTAACATCCAAGTTGAGCAGCTTAAGGGCCCAGAAGGCCTTGTTCTTTAGCTCCACTGGCAAGTGACATGCCTTTCCATAGACAAGCCGATACGACGAAGTAACAATTGGCGTCTTGTAGGTAGTTCGGCATGCCCAGAGAGCATCATTGAGCTTGGTGGACCAATCCTTGCGAAATTGATCCACCGTTTTTCTCCACATCCTCACAGTGATGGCGAGTGCGGTCTCAAAATCAGCTAGTATATCACAGTAATCCAAGTAATCATGCAAATGGGAATGCTTCACATTATCGAACATAGACAATGTATAATGTTCATCCCCAGCCTGCAAGATTAACTTGCCACTATGAACATCAATAAGAGCCTTGGCGGTGGCGAGGAATGGACTACCCAAAATCAAAGGCACATCCACATCCTCATTTATATCCAGAATAAAAAAATCAACATGATATGTGAATGCACCCACATTAACAAGCAAGTCCTCTATGATACCCCAAGGATGCACAATAGAGCGGTCAGCTAGCTGAATGCTCATCATAGTGGTTCTAGGTTCACCTAGGCCTAGCTTCTTAAATATTTTATAGGGCATGACATTAATGCTCGCGCCTAGGTCTGCCAAGGACTTTCCTACATGCATGCTGACAATAACAAGAGGGATAGTAAAACTCCCTGGGTCTTTACACTTCTCGGGCAGCTTGTTCTGCAGGATGGCAGAACACTCCTTGCTCAGCATCACTGTCGAGAGATCCCCAAGTTTCATTTTTTTGGTGAGGATATCCTTCATGAATTCGGCGTACTTGGGCATCTTCGACAGTGCCTCCATGAATGGCATGCTGATGTTAACCTGCTTCAACATTGCCATAAATTTGGCAAACTCAGTCTCCAGCTTTTCTTTGTGCAGTCGAGTGGGGAAGGGAAGCTGGGGGACATGCTCCTTAACCACTAGTTGTGGCTTGGGAGTATGTGCTTCTTTCTCGATCCCCACCTCGTCTTTGTAAGCTTGAAGTGCTGAAGCAGGTGTTGGCTCCTCTTGCCTGGCCAGAGCAGGGATAGCAGATGTCGTCTTGCCCCTTCGAGTAGTGATGGCGTCCAACTGCTGGTGAGGCTCGCGAGGATTTGGGATGGTGGTGGCAGGTGGAGTTCCCGGTGCTCTAGTGGTGTTCTGGCGAGCTATGCCTCCAATCTGGTTCTGGAGATCCATAAGTATGGTACTCTGGTTCCTCTGGCCTGACTCCAGTGAGATGATTCATTGGTCTAGCTAGGCAAAATTCGTTGTGCTAGCACTCACGAAGGTCTGCACTGGGAAAACTGTCTCTGCTGCTGCTGAAATGGTTGCCCCAGCCTGGGCTGATAGGGCTGATGTTGTGGAAATGGACCCTGTATGGCCTGGAAAGGTTGCCTTTGCTGAAAGCCACCCGCTCTATCTGGGAAACCGGGAGGCTTGGTGGTGTTCCTGTTTTTGCCATTCCAGGAGAAGTTGGGATGCCAGCACCACCCCTCATTATATGTTCCACTATAAGGATCATGGCGCCGAGCATTGGCGATGAAGTCCAACTGCTCTTAGGGTAAAGAAGACTCCCGCATAGCCTGGAAGTCTTCCACCAAGTGGTTCGAGCTCTCACACCATTGGCACTGTGCAACTGAATGGCCACCCAATCCTCTGCCCGGAATAAGACTGTTGGGCTGCTTTAATGTCTGGACCAGCTTGGCCACCTCCCGCTCTAGCCCGGATCTAGCTTCCATAGAATGCACACCTCAATCCCGGGAGTTCCTGCCTCTAGTGCTCTGCCCCCATGAATGATCTCTAGCAGCCAAAGTACTGATCATCTGATTCAGCTCGGGCGGAGTCTTGGTGAGAATGTCCCCTCCTGGGCATAGAGAATCGATCACCCTCTGGATCTCTGGAGATAGAGCACTATAGAAGTTCCCCACAGTAAATACATCACTAAAGCCGTGATAGGGACACTGCGTAAAAAATCGCGAGTACCGTTCCCAGGCATCACGTAGTGACTCATCTGGCTCCTGGATGAAATGAGTGACCTCCCGCTGAATCTCCGTGGTCTTCGAGGCAAGATAGTACCTGTGCACGAACTTGTCGGCCAGATCATCCCATGACGTGATGGACAATGGTGGCTGGGTCTCTAACCACCTCTTTGCATGCCCCGCCAGAGAGTGGGGGAAGAGGTGAAGACGAATCGCATCATCTGGTACACCATTTAGCTTGAACCCATTGGTAAGCTGCAAAAACCTAGAAAGGTGCACCCTTGCCTCCTCATCCTTGAGGCCATGAAATTGGATGGAGGATGTGATTAGTTGAATCCAGCATGGTTTGATCTCGAAGTTATTTGCTGGAATGGGCGGATACAGGATGACGTGGCGGATGTCGGCAAGCCGTGGAGTGTAGTAGTACTCCATAGTGGGACCTGGCGGGGGTGGTTGATGTTGTGCCCCATTTGGTTGGGGAACTGAGTTATTGGCCAGAACCTGATTCACTGGGGGAAACTGCGGTAGTAAGTCTCTCGACTGGCTACGGGTCATACACTACCTGCACATAGTCAAGCAAGCAACCCCGTGAAGGCACAAGTGGGACAAAACAAAACAGTCAATGCGGAAAAAATTCTAAAGTAACAAAAATCACGTTTCTTCAACAACCTAACCGTCCCCGGCAACGGCAACGGAGCCAAAAACTTGACACGCTTGTACAGTTACACTAGAAAGCGGGCAAGTGTAAACACCTACTAATGCGTAGTATGGCGGGTTTAGATTTAAATGTCAACCCGGGTCCTAGGTGTGATGACTACTCCGCGAGATTCTTATTATTTAGCGGTTCAACTGTAGTGAAGTTCCAACTAAACTAGCAAACAAAAGTAGTAAATGTTGTGTTCCAAGTTTGAGAGAGGTCACCCAGATATGGTTTCCCCTAGACCGCAGTTAAGCCAAGTTGTAATTCACCTAGTCCAGTTTCAATGATAATTATACTGCAGAAGGTTCTTAGACAGTCTGAAGTCTCGACTAAAGGTCTCCAGACCCTCTCAATCCGAATCCCCAGCGGGTGACTAACCTCCACCGGAGTAAACACACTGAGGCCCTAACGTGCCAAACCTCCTCTACTGGAGTGAATCTAGTACAGAATAGTGAACCGACTCCTCGACTAAAGTCGTCAATTCAATACCTTCAATTAAGGGTGCTCTATCAACCTAGGTAGATATTCTCCTTCTAGGTCAAAGCAGGAACTACAGGAATTTGATCAGGATTCATGCAATTCAGAAAATCATGCCTCAATTGAATATAATCAATATACAAAACTTGTACTTAGGTTCATACAACCATACCTAACATTTAAATCTAGGGTTCTTCATACCCAGGTGAGTGAGAGAGTTTACTCCATAGAGAGTGAAGAGAAATCTGTTTTAGATGCGGAAATCATTCTGTGAAGGATGAAGATCTTCTTTTGGTAATCAATCGACACTCCTCCAAGCTTCCACCGAGCTCCAATGGCGTTGAAGATTGATTTAGGAAAGTTGGAAGTTATGTTCGTCACTTTCTCTCTCTAGGTTTTCTGCTCTCTATCTCTAAAAATCAGATTCCCCTTCTCTTTGGCTTGAAATCTCATTTTAACCCGAGATTGGGCAAAACACGGTCGAGGACACGGCCATGTTTTGCTTTTACTTGCCCGTGTTCTGCTTCATGTGTTGCAAACACGCCCGCATCGATCCAAAACACGGTCGTGCCCAAGAAGTGACACGGTCGTGTTTTGCTCCAATGGCGCTCGTGTTTTGGACTCCTCAGCAGCCATCACAAACACGCCATCGGCAGTAAAAACACGGACTGGGGAACACGGTCGTGCTTTGGAATGGCCTGCTCGTGTTTTTTCCCCAACTTCACCAAACAACCTCCAAACACCCCGAAACTCGTGCCTAGCCCTTCCTTCGACACTTGGGACCTCAATTGTGACAAAATAGCACAACCTTGCATAAAATAGGCTAAAGATGCACGACTAGGAGCCGCAAACGGATAAGAAATGAGGATGTAGACACATCCAAATACATCGTTATCAAACACGCTATGCCTGCCCAACATAGAGAGTACTCGTCGCCGGAAA